TTTAAGTGTTCTGAGTGTTGAATACAGTTTTTAAGTTGTAGGTACTTTGGTGAATTTTTATTTATCCCGAATCCCAGCGCGTAACAGTATCATCATTCATGTTTAAAGGCCGACAAGCTATCCAATTGAGATTACGATTTCAAATCTTATGATCAGAGGCATCCTTCATAATTTGTAAACATCAGATTGGGTCACAGTGACATGATGTCAAGTGATTGACAGTTGGGCACTGAGCTCATCGGTGTTTCCCGAGCGCTATGACATATCCTTCTTCAAACGAGGCTTGTGTACAGTACATAACGGTAGGCAGCGGCTTGGCTCTGCCCTTGGCATTGCTGAAGTCCATGGGCGACGGTAACCACTCACCATCAGGTGGGCCGTACGCTCGTCTGTCTAAAAGCGCAAATAAAAACCCAATGATACCGCGTGTCTCTAGTTCTCTCTCTAGAAGAGTTTGCAGCGTATAATAAATACGTCGTAGTTCACATGATATCGGACAGTGAGCCTCCAAAATGATTTCGCTACTGCTGCCGTGTGGTATAATTGTTACATTAATCAAATTATAATAATCCTTATTCTGTTTTTAAAACGCAGGTAAAACAAATCGATTTCTTGATAAAAGCCGGTTAGAATAAACATAGACACGATCATTTATTTCAAAATACGTTGTTTTTCCTTTATTTACTTACGGTTACATCATCGGGAAAAAAGCAGAAGTTAGTTTGAAATAAATCACACGATCAATGTCTCATTACAATCATAAATCACAGAAATTTCCTAAGCTCTGACAAAATTCATAGTTTAGTTTTATAAAAAACCATGCTGCCTTGTTTTCAATTTCGATGATTTTCAACGTTAGTACTTAACTCACAAACAAAACAATCCATAAAATCTTACCTCCAAAACATTGTTCAATATCGTGCCTTCTCTGAGATAATTACTGCCATTCCTGTCTACGGGTGTAGGGTTCACAGTCGTCATCAGATAACACAAGAAACAAAATAAAGCTATGACTAGAACTGAATATATCACAACAAACAGCAGACGCTTTATCATTGAAAAACGAATTCTTTCGAGCGTGCCCTGAAATACGTGAAATTCGCAATTTTGATTTAAATCAAAAATTTCTGCTTTGCTTGTGTATTTATAGTGGTTTTTGTTGCAATCTTCCCATGTCAATTTTTCTGACAATTAAGCTACTGTCATTCTAACGGTATGCGTAGCGAATAAATATTAACTATGAATGATTTTTCCATTGATAATAGATGAGGAATTTATATCAATATTAATTTTAGACTTTAGCTTTCTAATAGCTACAAAATATAATATAAACAAATCTATATATATATAAAGGAAATGCTGTTCGTTAGTCACGCTAAAAGTCAAGAACGGCTGGACCGTTAAAAGTTGGTTTTAAAAGGTAGATAAATATGAAAATGCTCGGAACTAAATAAAAATAACAATTTTGATTTTCCTTTGATGTGTCCCCCGTCGGACGCATTCCTTTTGTTCGTTTTAAGTTTATTTGGTACAAAAGTTTAGGTCCGTTATTTATCGATTGAGGCAATACGAAGTCTGCCGGGTCAGCTAGTAGAATAATAAAATCTCTTTGATGAGTATAAAAACCATGTTTATAACGCCTTCAGCCTTATGTTTGCCAAAAAAATATATCTAGCTTTTATTTAACCACGCCTTCGGAAAACTTTTTTCCCATTTAAAGTAGATTCTAGAACTATCTATGACAATGGTCTGACCAGATACTTATGACATGAGAAGCTTTTTATAATATTTACTAGATGAGTAGTACCCCTTATAAGAAGCTACGGGAATACGAGTCAGGCCTTCTCACGACTTTCAAATTTGAGTTAACTTTTACGCTATCGAGAACGTTAAAAAACTCGCACTAAGCAAACTGGTAAGTCGCGAGCGAATGGAAGACGATATATACTAAAAGAAGATTATTGTAATGAAGAGATCCTCTCGCCTTCTCGCATTCTTACAATAAATCTGACAGGTGAATGGTTTTGACAGGAATTGTGTGAAAGATTTCCGATATCGAATTTTCACTGAAAATAACTCTGTAAAATGTTCCGTTATTGAATTCGTTTTTAGTTGTTGTTTAGATTTTTTTCTAGGGAAGCTAACGAGGTAAAGTGATTTTTTTTTATTTCTTATTCTTGCTTCCTTGTCTATGATTAGATGTTAATAATTTATTTTATTTGTGGTGTGCATTGGTTTGGTAATGAGACTGATTAATTTAAAAGCTGCTATTTTTAGGAACAATTTCGAATATACTACAAAATGCAAGCAGGCAAAATATGCGCCTGTGCAAACTTTAGACTTACAAACACTTCAAGATACGTAGTATCTTTTAGATTTTCTAAGTTGTGTTTCTATAATTTATCCCTTTATGATCTTGAGCCCTGCGATATGTTCTTCTTCAAACGAGGTTTGAGGACATTCTTCACTGCTAAGCTAATCAAAAATGATATAATTTTATATCATCATATCCCATGAATACCTTCAATAAAGTTTACCAAACCAAGGCGCTACATTAAATAATATTGATCTTTTTTTTTCTATTACTAATGTGATTGAACGAGCTCACGGCTCACCTGGTTTTAAGTGACCACTGGAACCCACAGACATCCAAAATGTTAATGCCACCGCCCACCTTCAGGCATGAGCTCTAAGTCTGTTTTTACAGTACAACGGCTACCCCACCCTTCACACCGAAACGCATTACTGCTTTACGGTAGAAATAGATAGGGTGGTGGTACCTGCTCCACTTCGATAAAGCGGCACGACATAAGAACCCTCTCATCGTGGCCGCCGGTAACTACATTGCGGAAAGAATGGAAAGCAGTCGACGTCGCCCCAAACACGTCATTTCGGATCCTCCCGATCCACTAACGGTGCTTTTAGGTACCTCAAGTACCAGTCGCCGTTCTCGTCGAACCCGTCGCTTGCCACGAAGGGCTCGTCGAGTAAATTAACCCTCAGACACAGCCCACTGAGTTTCTCGCCGGATCTTCTCAGTGGGTCGCGTTTCCGATCCGGTGGTATATTCTGCGAAGCACGGCTCTTGCTAGGGTTCGTGTTAGCAACGTCGTCAGGTTTGAGCCCCGCGAGCTCACTAGTTAAGCTACTAGTTAAGGTTACGCTGAAATAGCCTCTCAAGGCTATCAGCTTAGGCTTAAAAAAAAGGTATCTGCTTGTGCCTCAACATACGCCTTACCACAAATACTCGACGTAAAACGAAAAACCTATCTAGTTATGTAGAATAGCGTAGGTACGGATACCTCATTCACGTAATAATAATAAGAAAGTAGGATCTATCGCTTGAAATGACCTTGTTCACATATATCCGTTTCACCTGAATATTAATTGAATCTAAATTTAAGCAGTGCCAAGTAAAACTCTATACAGCAATAGAATTGATCGGTTTCAGGTTCTTTAGAATTTTGAATGGGATTCCCCTCGTTATTTCTGAGAACTATGTCCGCTAGTCTTTCTTCGAACAAGATTTTAGAATATCTTTATAGGAAGGCTTATACAATGATTGAACCGGCGAAAACTTACACCAGGCGACTTGCATGCAGAGAATGCTTCACGCAGCAATAGAATCAATACTCTTACGAAAGATTGAAAACACAGCAAATTATATTGTTGACTGAAATGACACGGGCTATTCGATGATAGTGTTTGAAAAACTTGTTTACAAAACTCATAATTAAAAAAAAAACTTCACTTTTAAGACGCTATATAAAAATTCAGTAAATAAATACTCGAAATTGCGGCAACTTAAAAATTTAATGACAAAATAAAACATTTTTCTTTGATTAAGCATCGTCTTGGTATCGTGAAGGTCATGAACCTTTCATATAGGCGATTGCACAAAGAATATTATTTTCATAATATAACACAGCTGGTATCAATATATTAGATATATCACAATTCATATTATTATAAAAGGTTTCCAATGTTAGCCGATAAGAAGTTGTCGTAAAAATGAATTATTATTTTATTATAAATTAAGTTATAGATAGATACTCAATCCAACATTGAAACCTAACTATTGTAGTGTGATTTGTGAATATCAAAGAAACCTACATACTTCAAACTGTTTTCAACTTTTTTCCATTTTCCAGAGATGACGAAAAATTCCGATCATCATAGCGTTACGGATTCGGAAGCGGGGTCATTACAGCCGAGTCGTACAAGCAAGCTCGGAGCAGTCCTGTGTCCAACTGTGTGTGCATTACTTCTCGTATGCATTTTCGCCATGTCGTTTATAGGCACGAAGCTGGCCTATGCTCAATATGACGCCTATTGTAGTAGACGTTACGATATTACAAAACTCTATTCATACAGTAACATAACCATTAGTAAATCTTAATTTCATTTTTCACATATTAGTGTTGCCACATCCCTCGTTTTGATTTTGTAAGGAATATATGTCAGTGCCACCTACTGATTTAAATTGTAACTTGTTTTGTATCTGGGCTTTGAAAAACGTAAAATTTACTTTATTAGCTTTAACGCAACATGAAGTCAGAAAAAGATAAAATTTGTAACTAGGATAAATAATAAAAGAAAAATTTCTAATCGAAATTACTTGTCTAATGACAACACAAATAACGTTCATTTAAATAAATGAACCCCAATCTATAGATTTAACTTAAAGTAACGCCATCTAACAAAATTGTAATGAAGCATTTCTAGCGATAAAACCTAATTGCTTGTTGAAATATGGAGTTTTGTCAGAAGATGGCACTAAAGTTGAATTATAATATCATTTTTCGTTTTTTCACCCATTTTGAAATATAAAAACTGCATATTTTGGAAAATAAATATCAATAAGAATTCTTACGTGTACAAAATATCAACTGGAAGTTTTTTTTTCTGTGCACGAATTTTCAAATCAGTGTTGCCAATATATTAAGTGTATAATCTATGGTGTTGCCTGCCTTTAGATTAATTTAGGAATAGGTTGTCAGAAAACAAAATGGGCGGCCGCTGATCGCGCGACAAATTGTACATTTTTCCTACTATTTTTGTGTGTTTTATAATTCATATTCTTACTTGAGCTTTACTTTTGTAGTGCTAGTGGTGTCTCCTTCAACTTTTCTGTCATATAATGTAAGTATTATTTGTTTTATTCATATAATTTGTACTACACTGCTTGTATCGATTGTATTGGCTGAACTAAAGGCCAATGTCAGCTTTACGTCGGGGTCGTCGAGGGAGGATTAAATTAATTCCATTTTAATAGTTTTGATGTATTTCTTTAATTGCCGAAATCTTTTTAACTGAGACAGCAGATAATAAAATATTAAATACTAAAAAGAAAATCTAAATTCCAATAAAGGCACACATTCCTTGATAAAAAAAATTATCTTGTAACTAATAAAAAATTAGGCTCCTTTTCTTGTGTAGCTACGAATGGCTACAATGTTGTATTTATTGCGTTCAGTGTGGAAAAGAAGAAAAATCTCCCAATTTTAATCGAAAACTTTGAATTTATACAAGACATCGTCCATTTCGTGAATTGTGAATTTCTGAAATGAACAAATTTAATATCACGTATTTTTTTTTATAATAAAGTTGAGCAACACTAAAGAAAATTAAAAGTAGGTTGTGGAATAATTTATAACTCGACTTGGTAGGTATGGTATATTAAGGCTGAAGAAGAGAGTCGATTGGCACATAATTTTTTTTCGATTTTGCTTAGGCTTAATAATATTGTCTGTAGTAGATATTACCAATTCATTCATTGTTTTCCTAGGTACATGACGACCTTGAAACAGTTGAATTCATTCATTTAAAAACGTAGCATACATCTTGAAAAATCAAACCTTATTTCTTTTAATTTAGCGTGATAAACAGAACAATATACGGGAAACATAATAGAAGTGGCTGAAATAGTATTGAATTTGATGTTACGTTTTTAAATGAATGAATTCAACTGTTTCAAGGTTGTCATGTACATTGAGTTCATAAAGAATTTTCTTTGGCATAAAAATCTATCTATCCCTCTTTCTCTCTCTGAGATACTGTGTGCGAAGAAACGTAAATATGTAAATTTTATAGAATTACATGTCTGTTACCACAAAATTGGAATCGTCCGAAATAATGTCGTAGTCGTCGTGGCCTAACGGATAAGACGTCCGGTGCATTCATGTTGAAGCGATGCACCGGTGTTCGAATCCCGCAGGCGGGTACCAATTTTTCTAATGAAATACGCACTCAACAAATGTTCGTTCACGATTGACTTCCACGGTGAAGGAATAACATCGTGTAATAAAAATGAAATCCGCTAAATTATAATTTGCGTAATTACCTCTTGTGAGTCCGCGCGGGTGGGTACCACCACCCTACCGATTTCTGCCGTGAAGCAGTAATGCGTTTCGGTTTGAAGGGTGGGGCAGCCGTTGTAACTATACTTGAGACCATAGAACTTGTATCTCAAGGTGGGTGGCGCGTTTACGTTGTGGATGTCTATGGGCTCCAGTAACCACTTAACACCAGGTAGGCTGTGAGTTCGTCCACCGATGTAAGCAATAAAAAAATAATAATGAACACGAGATTAAATCATAAAGGTTGTTATCATCAAGTCGGCGAAACCCAGGAATAAACTGTACTTAGCTAAAGGTTCAGCTGTTTTCTTGTCACAGATCATGGTAAACGTTCATAGGGTAGATTAATTTTATGAATTATGAACAAATGATGTCTTGGACCGGAAGATCGTCTATTTAATGCGAACAAAAAAAACAATTTTTAATTGTTATTGTAGTCCTTGAAGGAAAATTAAAATCTGCGTCAAAAACTACGAAACGTTAGAAACAATATGCCTCATTTCTTCAGTACTAGAGGCGTGGTCCAGACAGCTGGAAAAACTAGGCTGGCCTGCGGACGGTTAAGGCGAGTCAACCATTCCTCGGGACTGGGTGAATTGCGTCCGCGAACGCCTCACCTTGCGGGTGGTACAGGTGCTGACCGTGCATGGTTGGTTAGGGAAGTAACTTGTAAAGGTGCTGTGCAGACGGTAGAGTGCCATTATTGTGGATGCGACTTGGACATGACAGAGTATAGGCATAAAGGGGGCGGCATTACACCTTCCTCACACAAATATGTATCGACTTGACGCTGGCGGATGTCGATAGAGAGCCTAATGCTCTGCAGCCAGTAGGCGCTGCAAACGATGTTCGACTTCTATGATAGCATCATGCAGAAGCAGGCGACGAGGTGCTAGAGCGCTTTTCTCTTCTTCGCGTCGTTTCCTCACTGCTGAGGGTCGTGACCATCATATTTTGACAGGATTCTACTTCTTGCAATGTCCCTCCAGCGCCTCCGATCATTGGCTGCATGAAGGGCGTCGTGGAATGGGATCCCTAGTGTGGTGCGGTTTTAATCGAACCACCTTGTCGGACTGCGCCCACGCGGTCTCTTTCCCTCGATCTTTCCTGTCACAAATGGTCTCTCTAGGCTATCGGGCGTTTTGAATCTTCTATATCCGTATAAACCTGTTGTAGATATCAATCGAAAACTAGTCTGCATCTGAATCTTGAGCAGTTGGTCCCCTCCATATGCTGCCGTTTCGGAATCGGTAAGCGAGGCCCAAGAAGACGAAACTTCCGAAAGATTCGATGGAAGTTGTAAAAGAATTGAAATCGTTAGAAATAAATGAATAACAATAAGAAAATCGCGAGATTAAACCATAAAAGCAGTATTAATTAGGTCTTAAGTCTCGCGAAAACCAGAGAAAAGACTGCTGTTCTTAAAAAAACACTACAGCAGTAGATATTGTAGTTCGGTGTTATACCAGTGTGATACAAAGATAACCATACACTGCAAAGACCTCATTTCGGGCGACCTCATATCGCAGCGTGCAGAGAGCAAACTTTTAAATATACCACAGCCTTTGCGAAGCCCATCTTGTGTTATTTTCTTTTCGTTTCGTACAAGGTAAACACGACCTAGTTCTGCTCTTTTCATTTTTGTTTTTCACAAACGAGAGCTAACACAGAATAATGTGGAAGTCTCTTTGTGAATAAGAATTTAAAACGGAAAATTTTAGGGTAAAGTATACAGTTAATGGCATTGAAGAGTAATTTTTTATTGGGGTAGTTAAATGAACATAATGCCATTAATGTCCTAGACAGTTTTCGGACTTTAACCCAATGTACCAGAATTTTCTAGTACGATAACCCACTGAGTTTCTTGCCGGTTCTTCTCAGTAGGTCGCGATTCGAATCCGGTATTAGTTCAGCGAATCACTATGGCTAGGGCCGATTTTAGCAAACCCTTTCAGGGAGAGCTCCTTGATCTCGCCCACCAGTCAGGGTAAAGCCAGAATAACCCCTCGAAGATACTGGCAGATAGGTCAGCAAAGAAATAATCTAGTACTAGTAGTAGTGTTTTGCTTTTTTGGTTAATATAGCCAATGTGAACGAATATCGGCCGTATGTCAATAATACAAGCAAAACTGGTATATGTACTGGTGTCATATGATGTGACTATGCCATACTTCAAATTATCTGACTAGGGACTAATTTTTCTTATAATCAATAGCATGAATGAAATCGAGGACGAACCCAAGAAAATCGGACGTAAATAATTGCGTAAACTCCTCACACAGAAACGGATCCTTGTACGGATGCGTGGTAACATTTTGTCTATTTCTGCCGCGAAGTAAAAGGGTGGGAAAGCTGTTACACAATAAAATCTGACCTGTCCCAGGGTCGATTAAGCCCTGTAATATAATAAAAGTGTGGCCCCTTAATAATTTCGATCCGCATTCGTTGTCAGTAAACAAAACCGGCTTAATGGACAATACAGAATATATTTTTATTTTTCCTCATCGCAGTGAAATGGTTTCTGCAATAAATCCACAGTATATTATAGGAAGTCCGCAGAGATTGAAAGCCTTCCTCAAAGGAAATTGCAGTTCCGTCGAATACAGGCACGATACCTTGGACATTAGCTTGGCTACGTCTATATCAGTAATTGGATTGACCAAGTCCTCCATTCAGTGCATAGGTTAATCCGACTTTTAAATGTCCAACAAGAGCATGCGTGTGGTCAATATTAGGTCGGATATAAAGTTTTGTCATGATTCGTGCAAAGCAGTACTGTTTTTTTTATTGCTTAGTTTGGTGGACTCGACTACTAGTATTTCAAGTATGTTCTTGCGAGTGGGTTTGCCCGTTTTGATATATACTCATAAAGTCACCTAAACATCGTTATATCTTGTGTGAATTTATTTATTACGTGAAGCCAGTTAGAGAGCCGTTAATACAAACAATTGTTCTGCATCTACTTGTATGCTAATTGTTGAGGAAGGCACTAAGTATGTATATATGTATGTCGGGTTGAGCTCTTCCCGATCATCACCTGTATCCTCGTGGTCAGTCATTTGTAGGTTAGACTCCAAATAAGAACACAAATAATAGCAGCTTAGAAACGCGGTGATCTCAAAGATACGTGCGATCCCAATGGTGCTTCCAAAGAGAATACCTTCTCTCTCAAATGGCTGTCTAGTCATCCCACCGTCATAAGACTAACTCTTCAAATGTCACACGTCATCCACAGATTCACTGACACTTGCCATACGTCATTGTCTATTGAACGAGTCAAGAACAAGTCTACCCATAAACAATTACGATCTCAGCGCCACCTCCGATTCCACCCAGGTAATTAACCTGACGTTTCCAATCTAATATATCTCATAGTTATTTCCACTGATGCTCCGACATGTGTATGATTTCAAGATATGGAGACCAGTTGCAGATCGCGGAAATCCCCTGTAGGCGGACTGCGCAGGACCGGTCACTATGGTGAACCTTGGGGGTAGGGGTGTCTTATATCCAGCTGAGAACGTCTTTAAGCTGAAGATGATAATATTTTATATTGTATACAGAAATAAATCGCAAAAAAAAGGAATGGAAATAGAAAGAAAGTGTGCTTCATAACTACATGTACAAAAGGCGTGCCTAACTCATATACCGGCATTCCTCATTAAAGACCAACAGTAAAACAATTGTACAAAATTGCACAATGAAACAAACATAAACAAAGCAACAAGAGACAAGTGCTTATAAATATATACACAAAATACAATGTAATAGAGAACAGCTATT